GTGGAGAGTGAAAGTGGACTTAGGTTTTGAGAGTTAGTGTTTAGAAGTAAGAATTATATTGTCATTCTTTTTTTAAGAGAAGTCTTTAATTTACCGACCTCAGGATGTCGATATTTTTTAAAATAATTATCTATACATATATATATATATATATTTATATAAACTCACCTCTTGAGGTTGATTTTATTAATTAAACATATATAATTTAACTACACATCAACATATAATATATGTATATGTATACATTCATATATATACATCTATGTATATATACATATATATATATATATATATATGTAAATTTATTAAATTAAAATTCTGTTGATTTGTAGTTAAATTTTATATATATATATATATATATATATATACACACATATATATACATAATTATTTTAATATAAACTCACCTCTTGAGGTTGATTTTATTAATTAAACACACACATATATATATATATATATATATATATGTATCACATTAAATTTTAAGAACACAAAATGGTGCTCCGGAAAACGATTTAAATAAAATTAAATCAAAATAGAAAATAATACCGACATCAAGAGGTCGGTTTTTATTGTAATTCATTTTATGGGAAAAATTCCGACTTCTTGAGGTCGGAATTTGGTTTACCCGCAAATCGCAAACCGACCTCCGGATGTCACTTTTAAAAGTAATTAGATGAAATAAAAATACCGACCTCCGGATGTCGCTTTAATTAATAGTCGAAATAAAAATACCGACCTCATGAGGTCGGTATTTTAATTACATACTATTTAATTTTTACCGACATTCGAAAGTCGGTATTATGAAATATTTAATTGAGAAAAAATTCCAACCTCAGGAGGTCGGAATTTTTAATGAATTACAATAAAAACCGACCTCTTGATGTCAGTATTATTTTTCTCAATTAAATATAAAAAATACCGACCTCATGAGGTCGGTATTTTATATTAATTTATTTTTACTATTTAATTTTACCGACATACGGAAGTCGGTATTATAATTTTTTTTGTTTTTTATTTTACACAAAACCTATTGAGAAAAAATAAAATATTGTTATATATATATATATATATATATATATATATATATATATATATAATTATTTTAATATAAACTCATCTCTTGAGGTTGATTTTATTAATTAAACATATATAATTTAACTACACATCAACATATAATATATGTATATGTATACATACATATATATACATCTATGTGTATATATATATATATATATATATATATATATATATATATATATATATATATATATATATATATATAATTTAATAAATTTACATATATATATATATATAGATGTATATATGTATATATATATATATATAGATGTATATATGTATATATATATATATATATATATATATATATATATATATATATATATATATATATATGTAAATTTATTAAATTAAACTTCTGTTGATGTGTAGTTAAATTTTTTTATATATATATATATAATTATTTTAATATAAACTCACCTCTTGAGGTTGATTTTATTAATTAAACATATATAATTTAACTACACATCAACATAATTTTAATTTAATAAATTTACATATATATATATGTAAATTTATTAAATTAAAATTATGTTGATTTGTAGTTAAATTATATATATATTGATATATATAAATACACACATATATATACATAATTATTTTAATATAAACTCACCTCTTGAGGTTGATTTTATTAATTAAACACACACACACACACACACACACACACACACACACACACATATATATATATGTATCACATTAAATTTTAAGAACACAAAATGGTCCTCCGGAAAACGATTTAAATAAAATTAAATCAAAACAGAAAATAATACCGACATCAAGAGGTCGGTTTTTATTGTAATTCATTTTCTGGGAAAAATTCCGACTTCTTGAGGTCGGAATTTGGTTTACCCGCAAATCGCAAACCGACCTCCGGATGTTGCTTTTAAAAGTAATTAGATGAAATAAAAATACCGACCTCCGGATGTCGCTTTAATTAATAGTCGAAATAAAAATACCGACCTCATGAGGTCGGTATTTTTATTACATACTATTTAATTTTTACCGACATTCGGAAGTCAGTATTATGAAATATTTAATTGAGAAAAAATTCCGACCTCCTGAGATCGGAATTTTTAATGAATTACAATAAAAACCGACCTCTTGATGTCGGTATTATTTTCTCAATTAAATATAAAAAATACCGACCTCATGAGGTCGGTATTTCATATTAATTTATTTTTACTATTTAATTTTACCGACATACGGAAGTCGGTATTATAATTTTTGTTGTTTTTTATTTTACACAAAACCTATTGAGAAAAAATAAAATATTGTTATTTTTATATATATATATATATAAATATTTTAATATAAACTCACCTCTTGAGGTTGATTTTATTAATTAAACATATATAATTTAACTACACATCAACATAATTTTAATTTAATAAATTTACATATATATATGTATATATACATCTATGTATATATATGTATGTATACATATACACACACATATATATACATAATTATTTTAATATAAACTCACCTCTTGAGGTTGATTTTATTAATTAAACACACACACACACACACACACATATATATATATATATATATATATATATATATATATGTATGTATCACATTAAATTTTAAGAACACAAAATGGTCCTCCGGAAAACGATTTAAATAAAATTAAATCAAAATAGAAAATAATACCGACATCAAGAGGTCGGTTTTTATTGTAATTCATTTTCTGGGAAAAATTCCGACTTTTTGAGATCGGAATTTGGTTTACCCGCAAATCGCAAACCGACCTCCGGATGTCGCTTTTAAAAGTAATTAGATGAAATAAAAATACCGACCTCCGGATGTCGCTTTAATTAATAGTCGAAATAAAAATACCGACCTCATGAGGTCGGTATTTTAATTACATACTATTTAATTTTTACCGACATTCGGAAGTCGGTATTATGACTAGTTTTGAAAATAAATAAATTAAAAGAGAATCCTGATTTGTGGTGACGCCACGTAGGGTTCTCTTTTATATATATATATATATATATATGATTTTTCTTTAAACTATCGTACAAATTAATTGAATTGACTTACTATTCATAAAAGAAAGAAAGTTGTTGCAAGGTTTTTCACAAAACAACCATAAGATTTTTTAAAAGTTGTCTGCTTGAGCTACTTACAAGCCATCTGCTTGATTTCACATTTACTCAAAAAAATAAAAATGTAATGAATGTCTATAATATGGTGTATCTATAACATAAGTTTTTATAATTTATTTTTATCTTTATACCTTTTAATATTAGCTTTTTTATCGATTTAAAATAGAGCCGGACATTTCAGTATTTATAAAATTGATCTATTTCATTTATATTTTAATAAGTTAGATCACTTGTATTTCAGTTGGGTAAATATGAAATATATTGTTAACCTATAATAATATAAACAAATATTGAAAAAAATATGAGAATTCATATTTTGTCATGGTTAAACCAACTCAAATAAGGATATTTCTATAAGAAGGAATCAAAAACACACATTTTAATTAATTAAATGTTAAATATGTTGTTATTTACTCCAAATTGATATTCTCATATCAATTTTTAAAAATAGAAAATCAGTTTTGCTATTCTTTTGCTTCTGGTTTAATTTTTATTTAGTGTTTTCTCTCTTTTATTTCTTTTGCCATTTTGTTTTTATGTTCCTGCTACATCACTAAATTGAAGTTTGTCTGTTTTTCTTTCTTCTAGATATTAAACTTTTTTGTCAATTCGATCATAGTAGTAATTTATTATATTATTTTGTTGTTGAAAATTTTTGATATAAAGAATCTGAAATTTAGAAAAGACAGTTCGATGGAATTGACCAATTTGAATACAAAGGTCTAATTATGCATTTATTGTATCATAATCCATAAACATATTTTTTAAAGTATGTTTTATGAACACAAAAAGCAATAAGATAAATAAGAATCCAAGTAAGAAAAACTAAATTAATCAATGAAAAAAATAATAATACAAATTAGAGCCATTTTACGCAATTCGTAATTGACCTAAAATAAATATGGGTTTAAATCATTTTACCCAATTTATATTTGACCTAAAATAAATACGGGTTAGAACCATTTTATTCAATTTATATATGACTTAATTAGTTTGATCATATTTATTAAACCTGTAAAATTACTCGCGTAATAGCACGAAATTTATAAAATAATACTTAAAACCTATTGGTCATTAAAATTAAAACACTGTATTATCTTACAAGATTACATAGTAACAAACATTAATAATGTAAAAGAAAATGAAAATTATTACATCTTATCATTTATCCTTAATAACATAAACATAAATTAATGACTCTAAAAATACATATGAGGATCTGTAACATAAGCAGTTGTGTCAGTGAACCACTCAAACATGGACAAAGTACACAAACATTTAATTGTGAAGAAGAAGAGGAGGTCCAAAATTTGCGTTGTTTTAAAATGAAAGAAAATCCTTCTATTTATAGACAACAAAGGGTAGTGTGAATAAATGTTTATTGTGCCTTATCGGAAATGTTACAACTATTTGGAAAAGTTGCAACCCTTCGGAAAGGTCACAACCTTTCATAAAAGCCACGACTTTTCATAAAATTCGCAACTCTTTATTAAAGTCGAAACTTTTCATAAAAGTCACAAAGTAAAAGAGAACTTTGGTTTGTGGTGGCGCCACATAGGCGGACATAAGATTTTCATATGGTATGATATGATATGGTATGATATGATATGATACTTATATAGTCGATTACACTTCAATTCATTTTTAATCTGTCCAAATTCAATCCAAAATCCATCTATTTATCATGATTTTAAACAACCATCCATCCAAACAAGGTGTAAAGGGGGCAAAGGCTCCTTTGTTTTGTGTTACTTCAAAAGCATCCATTTTCTTCTTCACAGCCTCAATTTCCAACTCAAACCCTAGAAAAATACAATGAACAGAAAGGGAAAAGTAAAAGGTAAAAGCAACAGCCAGCCGATGGTGAAAAGGCCGCCATGGATGGAACTTCCTGAAGGTATATGGCCGAATATACTACACAGGCTTGGTGCTGTAGAGATACTGGAGACAGCTGAGAAAGTGTGCAGTAAGTGGAGGCGAGTGTGTAAGGATCCTTCAATGTGGCGAGTCATTGACATGTGGAACCTCGGAGACCTCTCTGACATGGATTACGACTTAGAGGTAATGTGCCGCTACGCCGTTGATCGCAGCCAAGGTGAAGTCGTTGATATCAATTTGCAGTACTTTGCCACTGGTCAGTTGCTTGAGTACATAGCTGAAAGGTAATTTCTTTCCCCAAATTTTAGGCTTCCATTGTGTTTGTATTGTTTGTTTTCCTTCATTTGGATTTTTTTGCTTTGCAAAGGTGGCATATTTCTTATCTCTTTTATTTTGGTTCATTAAGTAAGGTAGCAAATCGTTTCATTCTGTGGTATACTTCCTCTAATTTTTTTTTTATTAGGGATTGTGATTGGTAATCTGTCCTTTAATTCATGTATCCTTTTGTCCACCAGATCAGGAAAACTGAAAAGACTTAGCATTGCATGTGGCTATGGTATGGTATGTGAGAGATTGGTTGAAGTAGTTCAAAAATTCCCATTGTTAGAGGAGCTGAGTTTGACACACACAACCATCACGATAGAAGGGATTGAAGCTCTTGGACGCTCTTGTCCACGGTTGAAGTTGTTTGAACTAAATAACTCATTGTATATGGGATCAGGTGATTACTTTGATAACGAAGATGTAAGAAATGAAGAGGCTCTAGCTATTGCTAAAAACCTGCCTACCTTGCACCACCTTCAACTCATTGGAAACAAGATGACAATTAAAGGCGTTGAGGCTATTCTTGATAATTGTCCTCATCTTGTATCACTTGACTTGCGGCTGTGCAAATATGTTAGCCTCAACAAAGTCTTGAGTAATAGAATTTCTGGGCGGATTAAAGATCTGAAGCATCCTCATGACTCTCTTGCAGGTCTTGAATTTTCATTTGAGGCTTGTGGGGAGTATGATGAAGATCAGATGTCTGATGATTACTGACTACTAGTGGACGCGTATCTAGCATTAACCTCGTTTATGAAGTCGCAAACATTTTGGGTCATTGGATTATGAACACTTAAGGTGTCTGCGGTGATAAGTAATATAGGAAATATTTTCTGTTATGAATGTAATGACTATGTAGTGTTATTATCGGAGAATATTAGTAGCTCAGTTGATAGTTGATTGTCTACTTGAACTCTCACCATGTTGGTGAGGGTTCCCCACCTTGTACCCACATTTTCCCTTCACCTACGCCCAATATTGAAAAAGAATATTAAAGAAATGTAGTGTTATTATAAAAATTTTCCATTTGTCCAGGATAAAATGTGCAAAATTCTTGGCTTATTGGAATATCCGGGGTGAAATTACATTTCTTCTCATGATATATGACTCTTTTCTTTTGGGCTGATTCAAAAAGATAACACCTTTTTTATATGGTATAATACATAAACATACCTTTTTACTTGGCCTCGGCTGACATTAATGCCCTCCAACTTTGGGCACATTTATGTATTATGCCTATAAAATATTGTTGCTAGAGCTGCCTCTGTTGGCAGTTGAGTTCAAGCCAGTTGAATGCCTGACTGAGCCTTTTGCCAATTTACTAAATCTTAACAAGGTAGTTTTCATGTTCTTTTCCTTGATATTTCTTGACTGGCCATGTAGTTAGCCTTTGTGAATTGATTGCAGATATTATATTTAAAAGTTGGCAAAAGAAGAAAGGATGCATTAGGACAGCAAATGAACTATCAAAAGGAAATGCATAATTTGTAGGGCTACTAACTGAGAAACTTATATACAGTATATTGTGTTATTAACATGATGGAATATGAATATGGATGGAGAGAGTGCCTACTGTACGTTTGCCATTGTTCTTATGCAAAATTGACTCTTAGGTTGTTTCCGTTTTACTTCAGTACTTGACTACTCTTCTTTTATTTTGCAATAATTGTCTTTTGGGGGATTTTGGGATCTTTTCATAATTTGCTCTGGATTTTTGAGATATTTGACTTATTGGATTGACAAATTCTTGGTGAGGAGATCACTTTCTTCTGGAGTTCTCCTCACCAAGAAAGGTGCTAACCTGGATTACTCAATAGCATTTAAAGTTTCTCAATAGTATCAGAATATACTGGTTATCCAATATATCATATGAGCTTTGTAGAGTAAAGCCCCTTGATATGAAATCTGGTTCAATTCCCACAGCATCTATAGTATAACCTCTTTCTGAATCAAGAAGATCTCCAGGACAAGACGTCTCACCTGTTACAGAGATGATCCCATGGCGCCGTATCTCAGGTCAACCTGTTACAGAGCCTGATGAAGTGGCAAAATTTTTTGGGTGCCCTTTGCCCTCTCAGAAGTTGAAGCCGGAAAGTTGTTGCCATGACAAGGATGAAAGGTAACTTTTCTTATTGAATTTTACCTAATTATTCCTTGTAATCCCTATAGTGAAGTAAGAATGTTAATGCAACATTGACAGAATTGTGAGTTCGAATCTGTATTTTACTGGGGAACTTAGTCCTCATGCTAGCAATTGAACCACACAGGTCTATGTTAATGTCCAAGAGATAACTAGAGTCTTTTGCGATAACTCAAATTAGTCAAAGTTGCTGAACAATTTTTTTTCTTTATTTTTTTATTGGTTTTTCTTCAATTAGATTCACAAGAAGAGAAATTGAATTTCATTGGCATGTCTTGTATATTTTAGGACTTTATTTCTAAGGTTCCAAGTATAATCATTTAGGTTCATGATTTTGAATATACGCAGTATGAACATCCTTAAAATGAAGCATCTTTATGCATTTTAGCAACTGATTTCCACTTTATAGGTGGGGATATGGAGTCTGCCGAAATTAACCAGTGCATCTATTCCTTGAACCCGGGTTGGAGCATATCTCTGATTGACTACTAGATGTCATTGCCACAAGTTACATAGATGTATTTTTCACTGCAACAACACATTAATATTCTCCTCCGGTATTTCTTGAGCAGTATACTTCTCAGAGCATAGGAGTAGTCATAGTTGAATCAAGTTGTCGAATAGAACTCTTTAGAGCATGTAGTTACATAAGAACAATTTGCATTGAATATATCAAATGTTGGTTTAATTATCTATTTTGATATGAGTTGTGTGGACCATATGTCGTTGATATGCTGTTTGCCTGCGAACATAGTGTTCTCATGCATCAGTTATATACTGTTACAAAGATTGATATGACTTTCTCCTCAATATTTCTACTTATAACTTATTCTCTTTAAGTAATTATAGAATCTATAGTACACCTACTTATGGATTGATTCTCAATTTGATTTATCACTGCAAAAGATAGATAACGGATACTGAAATTATGGCTTTTTTTTTCTTTTCTGCTTGTAGGCTGTTGAGTTAACAAGCCACGGGTATGAACCTTCTGAGAGAGATATCTTGCATCCCAATGAAACCTTTTGAGACAATCTAGAAGCTCCTGCACCACCTCTCACTAGGTAACCTGTAACCATTCTCTTATTTGATCAGTTACATTTCTTGGTGTTAAAAGATATTTCCTCAATTCACTGCTGTAAGTAGTCTAGTCTACATGGCACAATTTACAAGCATATTTTCTTCAAGAAAAATGGCAGTTGAGATAGTGTGTTGCTATGTGCTGTGGGAAAGGTACAAAGGGTGTACTGTTGAAGGAAAAGCAGTAGCCATTCGTGTCTGATACTGCTTTTTGGTGCAAACTAACTGAAATCTGTTAATGAAGATATTGATGTGATAGATGTTACCTTCAGGAGTAGCCTGAGTTGTATATAGTTGTTGTACTCACTAGCATGGGTTTGGTGCTCAGCCAATTATATTAATAGAATCTTCTTTACATACTGCAAAGAAGAAAACATTATGCTAGCAAGTTAGGTAATTTAGAGGTCCAGAAAGGGACCATTAATCCAAGAAAGGAGTCCTTCCCTAGTCCAACATTATAAAGATAAATATAGTTGATGTCGGCATGACATCTATTGGAAGAAATATGATAATAGAACGATCATATGTGGAAAAGTTTCTGGACTAGATGACATAAACCAATTTTCTTTTAATGGTTAGGACCAGTAGTTGCAACTACATTATCTGTGTACAGAACACATGTTACCTATGTACTCGTCCAAGGTGAGACATTCTAATCTCATTTTAATGGTTTAGAGTTGACAATTGTAACTACATTGATGGAGCCAGCCTCCTGAAAATCATTTGTGCTTAAAAGGTGTATTTACTGTTGGAAATTCATAGAGGAAAACACTCTTAATAACTCAAATTCTTTCTTGAAGACAGATAGAGCTTTATTGCTCTCTACTTCCGTACATAATCAATAATTTTTTTGAAAACAAGTGGACTTCTACTAACTTGACTCACATAAAATACTACAAAGCTTATGTTTCTTTATGGGTGAGAAATATTATTGAACATTGAGACCCTATTTATTTATAGACACCGTATAACTCTTTTTCCAACTAGGACGCTACAATACAATCCTTTTAAGTAGGATTTTATATACTATTTCTAATTCTATTCCTATTCCTATTTGTTAGAATTCCTATTCTCAATTCCTATTTTGAGAATAGGAAATATCTAATTTAACCCAAGAAATTCTTTTCATGAATAAAACAATGCAATTATCTAAGTAGTTAAAAAAACAATGCATGTATCTAGGGGAGACAATCAAATCCAACCTGTCCAATCTGTTTAAGTTTGGATGGGTTATTAACCCGCTCATTCATTAGCTCAACCCATTTCAATCCATTAAAAATTGGGTTGATATGCAACCCGAACCGGCTCTTGAGAGATCTTGTCAAAGTACTTTTTTAATTTGATATGTTATATATAGTCGTAATAAAGAAAAAAACAATTTTATCAGGTAATAAATAGTTTAAAAGAACAAATAAGATAATTAAGCTTAGTAAAAATTGGGTTGAGTCTTGACCCATTATATAACCCATTACCTAACCCATTTTGACCCAAGCAAATTTGGGTTGGGTTGGGTTTAGACCTGATTGTTGTCTTAACCCATTATGACCCGCACAAGTTTGGCCCAACCCACCCAATTGCCACCCCTACATGTATCTAAGTAAAAGTGAACTAAATTGCTCACTCTTTTCAAAAGAAACCTAATATGTCTTTATAATGGTCCATAAAGTTGAAACTAAAATATCAAATTATTCCCCTGATGTGATTTGCAATGCAATCCAGTCCTGTTAGTTGACTTACGGCCTATGGTTTGCCTTTAAATCCTCCGTCATTTGTTTTTTAGGGTTTTAGACTCGCGTCATGAATTGACTCTGTGGGCAAGAGCTGTTTCACAATCTGAAGTCTGGTTGTATGCTCATCTAATAGATTGCCATCTTCTTAATGTACGGGATGTGGATCGAACTCACGATTGTATGTTGCCTCGTGATTTGACCATCTTCTGCAGGGTCTTGTTTGACATGTTCTCTGTTTTTTTGATGATCTGCTCATCGGTCTGTCAGTTGATTTGTGATTGTAAGTGTGGTGATAAATGTCTTTAATTCTGGCGATCTGATCTCGTGCTAGTGATTCCGATGAAGACTTCTTCGACAACTAGCTGGTATGATTCCATTTCCCAATTTTACGTTAGTGCAACTCTGAGAAACTGATGATCGTGATTTCGAACATTGATTTTAGCGACCAATTAACTATTTGCCACTTTCAATAGATTGAGCTTCAAAGGAAGCTAATACCACTATTAGAAAATTGCGAAGTAATAACTATTCTTCATAAAATCCTAAATTTTATTACCCAAAATATAAGGACTTTTGTTTGAAAAAAATAAGATCAATATGGAGCTCAACTTCTTATAAAACATACCTCTGGAAGTCGATTGAAGAGCTCCAAGCTTGGGGAGAAATCAAAATGAGAGATGGAGAGCTTGAAAGAGAACAGAGCACGAGTATGATTTTATTTGTTTTTGATAAAGAAGAGAGCATGAATAAGTTGAATCTTTGAAGAGAGAAAAAAACATTTAGGAGAACAGAAAAAAAACTTTCATATTGAAAATAAAATCAGTCATCATGTCATCTCCCAATTCTTTTTGCAAATGCAAACCAAAAAGATATGCACAACATATAGGAAAATGGAGTTGAATAACTAAAAAGAAATACTTTATCTAATTTCAAATAATTGTAACTCTAGAATGAAATTGTATGTGAAATTGGTGTTTACAAGTATGTAAGTAAATATTAAATTAAGTGTCAATTAAAATAGTATATGTGAATTTTAAAGACAATTTGGATATAATAGTTTAAAGAGGTAATGCCTATCTCTTGCTTCTTGTTGTAAGCATGTGAATTTGTTCTCAATGTTTTGAGAATAATTTAATGGTTCATTACATATCCGTATGTATGAATAAGTTCTCCAAATCTAAACATTTCTTATTCTTCACATGATGATGAGTTTACGACTAAACTACATTTACAACCGAGATTTTCCTACTAATCAAGTGATGCAAGCTTGGTCAGTATGAAATAGATCTAATATGTGTATGTTTCTTTATAGTTCCATTTAAAGGAAATGTAGTATCTACTAACTTAAGTGATGAAATTTGTAGGAAAGAACACGAGGATTTATGGATTCTTGAGTATTTCTTCCATTTTAATGGAATCGATCTTTAATTATTATCCTTGTTTAGGTAATTTATGTAGATTGTTTCTCTGTATATTATGCTATAGAAGTTAATATTTTATATGTCATAATTGATAATCAATTAATGTTTTCATGTATATGTAATAGTTCTATAAAAGTTCCATATTTATGTTTTTTTTCGCCAACTATATATTTGCTTTAGGGAAATCAGCCTAAATTACATAGCACTTGCCCGATATCTCTGACCCAATCAACACCTCCACAAACCCTCCACCTTGAAGACATACTAGTAGTTGTACTCCATGGAAAGGCAACAGGAACTCATGGTGGGAGCAGACCGACTCAGCGATTTACCCGATTCAATCCTACTTCACATCCTCTCTATGTTGCCGAACAATAAAGAAGTTGTGAGAACTAGTGTATTGTCTGAACGATGGCAGTTTCTCTGGAAATTCGTTCCAACATCACTCAATTTCAACTTCCCGATTAGTGACAATGAAAATGTCACTCGTGATTACCTAGTTTCTATCCACAAAGAACTTTATTATTGGAGGTCTTGCGAAAAAATTCGGAAACTCAGAGTGTGGGGCCTTAAGTATGAGGAGCGTTATGCTAAAGATGTTGATATATGGGTTCATTTTGCGACTAGACTTGCTAATATTGAAGATCTTGAACTTGGTCTTCTTACCAATAACCGAAGATATGAGTTTCCTCAATTTGCATATAAAACTGCATCGTTGAGGAATTTGGTGTTATGGAACTGCCGGTTGAACCCTTTTGGAAATGTTAACTGGAGTAGTCTCGTTTCTCTTTCAATTGTTTACATGGGATTCACAGATGGTGTCGTGGAAAAGGTATTATCTGGTTGCCCTAACGTGGAGTACTTGGAATTGGAAAATTTTTTAGGCATACATCGTTTGGAAATAAGATCTATGAAGTTGAGAGAATTGATTATACGCGACTATAAAAATGAGAATCATGACCTTTGGCTCGAATTATTAGCCCCTTACATTCAAAAACTGCAAATTTTGGGGTTGTGCAGTGAGATATGCATCATAAATGTGGCATCACTTGTGACTGCGGTGCTTTGTTTTGATTTTGATTTTGAGGACGAAGAACAAAACTTGGAGAAGGAATTTAGGTTTTTTAAGGAACTTCTTCATAGCGTTGCCCACGTCGAGAATCTTAACTTGGGATCCTGGTGCATAGAGGTATATTCATACTCTTCACTATCCAAAATTCATATCCTTTTTAGGGATTTTTTATTTGCTAGTGAATCATCAGTATAATAACATTGATAGTGCCACTACTTGGGATAATCTCTATGAATTATTCTACAATTTCCATTTCATTTATTATGTCATATTTTCTTGTTTTGACATATTTTGGTTTGTCTATTTTGTTTGTAAGTGCTTGTCCATCTTGGAGTTGACAGGGTGGGAGTTTCCACCATCAAGCCGGAAGTTCTTAGAACTTGGTGTGGAATTTGAACAGTTGGACTTCCCTGGAATTTGCTGTTTTCTGCAGAGCTCACTGGATCTTGAGACATTGGTCATTGATTGGTACGATGTTGAATCTGGAGTAAGTTTCTTTTAGACCTTTATATTTGTTACTTCATGTTATTCATTTCAAACAACTAGTACTGGATGAATAAGATGATATATTTAACATTTCTCATCTCAAGTGCTTCTGAAAAAAAATCAGAATTTTCTTTTTAATTTAGACCCTCCTAGTAGTTAAAAAAAAGGTAAGACTTGTATCAGTTCTATCCTCAAGCGTAGAGAAGATTAAGGAGGTTCAATGTTTGACAAAAGTGTAGGAGATAATCCTTAATGTTTAAACAGAACAAGGACTCCCATTTGCAATTTGAAGCATAGCTAGCTTGAGTACTTAATGAGCTTTCAACAATAGCTTCTAATTTGTGGGGGCTGCTTCCGTGTACGTTGCTTCCATAAGAACTAAAATGGAGAAAAAGTGAGATAAGTAACATGTGAACTGACTGAAGGATCAAACCGGGAAGTTCATCTTGTTGCATTATTGGAGATAAGCTTTGGGCTTCTTCCAATTATGAAGGAAAAGAGCTTCCATGTGTCAATCCTTAAGTTCCTTCTAGCTTCTCTTCATAGTGAGTCAAAGTTGAAAATGTTTTTTCCTACATCCACTAGGTGATTGTATCCAACTAAAGAATTAGCCACACAATTGGCTTCTCTGTCACCTCAACTTATGAGTCAACTCTTAATCTTTTCAATAATAGGTTTGTATTCCCAAGAAGGTTTTGCAACTCGCTTGAACATTCACAATAAGTAAAGAGCCGTCCACCCAAATGCTTCTAATACAATGTTCAGGATTGAGGATACCATTTAAGCCCATAGGAAAGTGAAAAAGCTTTAGTCATATTTTTGTTCAAAATCTGCTTTTCTTGTCTCAAAAGTTTATGATTCTCTTTGTTCAATCTGTTGTAGTTCCGTGCTTATTATTTCTTTTTTTGTTGTTAGACGCTCAGATGAACTTTTTTGTTCTCAATTTATTTTCCCTCATAAAATAGTTCAGCTTTTGTTGCTTTGATTCATGTTGTCACTATCAAATAGACTATATGAGTAAACTTTTTGTAATTGTTGGTAAAAGATGTTTAACAAGTGATAGTACTCACCTTAATGTGAGGGGATAAATGATCAGATGCTTTGAAACATCTTTTTATTGTTGTCATGTACTGAGATGTTCCTTGTATTGAAAAGTCATCATCTTTTTATTTTATCCACAATCAACTCCTTGGTTTCCTGCTTCCATCTAAGGAAAATAATTGGTTTGAATTCTTTCCTACAGGACTTGCTGTCAAGGTACATAAATGAGGATGAACAGATCAGGAGGTTTGAGTCCCATAGTTTTAATGGCTCATTTCCATATCTGAAGACCATCAAGATCCTTAACTTTTATGGATTTGTGCTGCCATTGGTAAAATATTTGCTGAAGCATGCAATTGTGCTAGAAAAGTTTGACATTGTTGTTGTATACCAAGGGAGTGATGTGTCTACGCATTATGCTACACAATGGCACAAGAGCTCGCAAGCTATCCAAGATCCTCTCCGCATGCTTCAGTTGACTTTTCTTATTGATGACTTTGGTCCCCTACCGTTTGTTAATATCGCAACATACTTGACATCTATAACTTTATGTTTGAAATTGTCCGGTTTGAGCTGTCAGAAAAAGCTTGGATTGCACTTGTCAATATCCAAGGAGGTGTTAGTAGTTCTTCATGTCTAAGTAACAGTGTGTGTATCCTCTAATAGTGATATGGAAGAAAGCTTGCTCTAATGCTTTGTAATTTCTATTTATTTTGCTAAATCCTGATCTTGTTGCCAATACTGCTAGACTCATTATTGCCTTGTTTCACTGGTTTCTTGTTATTCTTAATTGGTGGAAAAGAAACTTGAAAATATTTAATCTCTGTTATCCTACTTAATTTCTTTTCCGAAGAAAAAATTGGAGGGAGATGGTGTGGAGATTTCTGTCTCCTGGAGTTCTCCGCTTACCTGATTACTCAATAGCATTAGAGTTTCTCAGTAGTATCAGTATATATTATATGAGCTTCGTAGAGTAGAACCCTTTGATGTGATATCTGGTGACCCTGTCTATGCTTCTTGTTCCACCTTGACTATGTGTAGCCTTTTGGAGATGAACCCACAACTTTTGATATTTTGGTAAAACCCTACTAAAATATCAAAAAATATTATATTTGAACCTATGTAATGATTACAGTTGATAAGGCGTTTTAAGTACAGTTGATGTTTTCTCTTCTCAACTATGGCAAGTTATCTGGATGTATAACAAAAAAAAGGGCATAAGTTATCGTTGAAAGACAAAAGGAAGAGGATTAGTTTGGCCATTCTAATTACAATAAGCTGCAAATTTCGGTGAAACTACGGAAGGGAATTTTTGATTTGCTGAATTCAGAAAATAATCTAGAACAAGACAAGTTCTTGTAATAACCTTGGAAGTCATTTTTTAATAATTTTGAAAAAAATATAGTTTTACCCCTCCCAATGATTGCCCCAGGTCATGTTTGATTAGTTTATGCGATTAGTTCTGGGATTGGATCGAAATGTTGTGTTTTTTTGGAAATGTTAGTGTTTTGGAGGCCTTTAAGTTGTAAAAAAGTGATTTTTGTCAACACTCGGAGCTACGAGTCTCGGAATGGAATTTCACCAGTTTCTTCAGCTCCACAAGGTGGAAATTGGTTGAGGTATGTTGTCGTTTTCAGTTCAAGTCTTGGTGTGGATTTGAGCTCTTGACTTGAAAGTTTAAGTGAATTTAGGTCAAGAGTTGACTTTGGTCAACATTCGGAGTTCGAGCACTCGAATTAGAATTCTGACAGTTTTGTTGGATCTAGATGGGGAATTTAGGACTAGGTAGGGTCTTGGTTGAATTTTCGAAGGTTCCGAGGGCAGTTTGGTCTTTTAGGGTAAAAGTTAGTTTATTGCCAATTTAACGGGTGCAGGGTCATGGAGATTTTGAATCCGTGTTTTGATGGTTTCATTATGTTCAAATTTAGTTGGTTAGAATATCTGATTTGTGTGCTCGAAATTTCGAACGAATCTCGAGGGTCCATTTGGTGAATTTTGTGTCTTAGTGAATTGTTGTTGCTACGTCTGGTGCATGTTGTATGTTCATCGCAATCGTAGGGCCCTCTTTTGCGATCACGTAAGAGATTTATGTTGTACATAGTGATCATGTGGGGCTTGTCGCAATCACATAAGTATGAGTCCCATACTTTGCGATCAAGTGGTTTGTGTCGCGATCGCAAGGGTCAAAATTGAGTTAACTTATTATTCTTCATTGCGACCGCATTGTGTGAGTCACAATCATCATGAGTAAAATGGCCTAGGCATAATTTAATTTCCAATTTCCGGGTTGTATCGGCATTTCACCTTTGTTGGACCTTGGGAGCTCGGTAGGGGCAACTTTAAAGAGATTTTTCAAGATTCATCGATTGGGTAAGCGATTTTAACTTATCCATCGATTAATTCATGATTTTATAATCTACTTAGTGATTTTGATTTCAAACTTTGTAAGTTTTCTCTTGAAATTAGATTTTAAGGAAAATGATAGTTTAAGCTTGATTTCAACTCGATTTTTTATTTGGTTTTCACCAATGAGCTCCAAAACCTTTGGGTTGTTTGATTTTATATTAAAAAAAAATTGTATTTACCACTTAGCCTTCAAAAATGACTTTTTAGGTCGATTTGAATTTGATTTCTAAAAGTCAGCTTTGTCGGTGTTGTTGTTCTTGATTTCTTATGAGGATTCTATATTTGACTAGACTTTATGGATTCAAAAGCTCATCATAGAGGGAATACTCAAGTACCAAGTTGATTTCATTCTCCTTTAAGGCAATTGGACCCCTTTGACCTTTTGTTAAGTGTAGTAAACCTTGTATGTCTTATTGTGTGATTGGGAGTAATGAGGAATGGTGAAGGAGCCCGTATATCATACTCATAGTTAAATGTTGCTCGAATTTTAGTGATGATCTTGTGGGGGTAAAAATGAATTTGTTGATATAATATTGTGTAATATGCCACAAGTTGTTTGAATGGTTTATATTGACTCACTTTTGATGATGTTTCATGATTGTGTGTGGATTGGGTATTGATGTAGAATTTGTCATCTTCTCATTATTCATGCGAACGTGCTTATTTTCATTAGTTCTGAAGCACTATAATAAGATTTGGATTCTTAATATGCCGATGAAAAATGATTTCAGTGATTTATATTTATGTCGATGAGAAATGATTCCGGCAATTAATGTTTATTATGTCGATGGAGAATTGTTCTAGCGATTGATATTGAGCCGATGGAAAATAGTTTTGACGAATGCATGGACTGATATGTCCCACACGGATCCCGTCCTGATATTCAGTGGGTGTGCCTTGTGGCATGAACAAATATATCCTCTATGTGTCCTGTGATGCTTGTGCAACGGGTGTGTATTAACAGAACATGTATGCATCACTCTATATGACATTTTCATTGCATTGCATTTTCACCTCATTATCATTCTTAGCATTTATGAGTGAGTTAATGTTTTCGTGGTTAATTGAATATGATGTATGATATTAATGTTACAGAGATTTTTATATGTGAATTATGGTGAATTATTTTTATTGTGTTGTTCCATTATTTGTCAAACCGTTCGGATGAGTTGGTTTTGATATCTGTGCAGGTTGTAATTTATAGAGGTTGTAATTTATGAAGGTTCAGATGGTGTGTCAAGGTACTTATGTTAGATATTGCTTTACTTAATGTCATCTTGGGAAGCTTGTTGAGTACCGTTATTGCTACTCACTCCCTTGTTTTCTACACTTTTGTAGATTATGAGCTCGGATCGTCTAATCATGCTCTCGCACTTTCAATTGAGGCTTGCTTTTGGAGTTCATGAGGTAGTTGCTTGTCTGTTCGACAGACATCTTGATCTACTCTAAATATGAAGACATTCAAACTTCTATTTCTTTTGACTTTATTGTAATACTTAGGGGCATGCACGTGACCATATTTTGTGGGTGATTAAGTTAGATTATGAGTTCTGCATGATTATGTTATGTTTAGTCCTTTATTCCGTTCTTACTTCTGCATTTACCTCGTCGAAGATTGTTTAGGCAGACCTGTCTTTGTGGGATAAGACAAGTGCCATCACATTCGATTTTTAGATCGTGATAGTTCTTTTTCCTCAACAAGAACTGAAAATGTATGACTATACATAAAAAAAAAGAGGTAAAAGAATCAATAGCCTTTAATAATTTTGGCCTTTTCGATTCATTAAAATATATGCAGTTTTGTTATTTCTCAAATTAAACATATTCTTTCATTCTTAAAAATAGGGAGATGGGTGAGAAAAAGTTAAATTCTTGGCACATGTCTTGACCCCATGTGTGTGTGTGTTTTTTTTTTTTTTTAAACATGAATTGATATTTTCTCATAGTTTATAATATATGAAATGCTTTTCTGATTTTCTCTTTCTCATCACTCATTTGGCTAAGACTCCAATGTTGTAATTGAAAAGTCACTCCAAACAAAATTAAAAGGTAACTTACTCTCAATACAACAATATCATATTTATGTAGTATTTTGACTTATTGCCCGAGAGAATTCTTTTCTTTATTTTAGTTAGAGTCTGTTTGTTGAATCATATTATTACTTTTGACTTAATTTTTATGAAGTTATGTTTTGAGAATAATTTTTTAGAATTTTGTTTTGAAGAATATTTATTTGTGTTACTTGCTAGTCACGGAGAAAGTGAAATGAAGGACATCTAAACTTCATTTGTCCATATTAAGAAATACAACATTCATTTGGGTCTATATGTAATGAAACATCGATCAATGTAATGAGCTACAAAGCAATTCTATAAACAATAGAATATCCAAATTTGTGTTTTGGAAAGACTTTTTTGGAATACTCAGATTTGAAACTATTATTCGTCAGGTATTTTTAAAATTAACTTGTTTATATTGCTCATTTAGCATTACTATTTAATAGAGCAGAGCATTGTATGTGTTAAAAAGAATATCTTTTGGGCCTCATGCACCCATACGGGAGCTAGCTAAGTGAGATGGCCCACTAGTTAATTTAATCCTACGCCCTAATATTGTCTATATAAGCACCATTATGGGTGTTTGAATACACTCTAGATCTCTTAGTTAAACGGCTAGGGTTAGGGAGTTTCTCTACATATATACATAGTTGAGGATAATTAGGATGTGGAACTAGGACATCATTCTCTATGTGAAGATTCCTAGATTAGTAATTTGAGTCGTGGTTGATGCAAATGATCCACTTCTAAAAGGAGAAAACTTTTAAGTCTTCGAACTAGCGAATTATTACGGTATGCTTTATATTCAATGATACTATAGAAACTTGGGACGATAGAGATACTAAAGAATGCAGATAAAATGTGTATAACTTGGTGGCGATTGGGCCAAGAACTAGTCCTGTGACGAATTATCAAAATGCATGAATTGGAAAAGATATGCCATCAAACTGTTGATCGTCTCCATGTCAATTAGCTGATATTAGTTTTGAATACTTTGACAACGATAATTTGCTCAATTATATCACTGAAAGGTTCCATTTTCAACCCTAATTTCATGGTTTTTTGTTGTTAAACCTTTGCATGTGTTTAGTTTAGTGGTAGCTATCAAATACGAATGTATATGAGCATTATCTAATCTTTTTTGCTAATTAATTGGATTTTTTTGTTGGGTATAGCA